TCCCGGGTTCATTGCCAAACATTGATTTGTAACACGATAATTTTTACTTAATAATATTCTTTTATGTCATAAAATATTATTAAATTTTAATTAATAAATATTAGATATTAAAATATGAATATCTTTTAAGGCTTTCACAGATGATTTTTTTAGAAGTACCAAAAGGATTATCGCCGTGATCCATTGTTAATTCCAACGTTTCGTGAACCTTGCTGTTCACTTCATTAGTGCACTCCTCACCCTGATGAAGTAAACGGCAAGGTTCACGAAACGTTGGAATTAACAATATGGATGTCTTTCCATCTGGTCAGATTAACTCAAACATCATATATATGTAATAAAAATTTTAGAAAAAAAACAAAAAGCTTATTAAAGTTTTCTTAGTTAAAAATTAGTGTCTATGAACTATAAAATAAAATAATAAAACACTGGAACGCTTACGATTATTATATATATAAAAAAAAAAAAATAAAAAATATTATATAAATATAAAAAATATATTTATATAAAAAAATATTATATAAAAATATAACGGGAAAATAAATATTCGGATCAAATAGACTCGAACTCAACAAGATTAAAAGTAATAAAGAGATAATAAATTTTTTATTAGTGCTTTAATGTTCACTATTTATATTAGGTTAGAAAAAAAGTCCCTTTATAAATTGATAACAAGATTTTTACCAACCCATATATTCTATTTTTTTTTAAATAGCACCATTTGATAGATCAACGGTTCAGCTTTAAGAATCTATATTTTTAATTACGATACGATGATTTTTAATGGAGTTACGAGCAATAAAATCAAAATGTTCTTTTTTACTTAATCTGCGAGTAATTCAGAAACAAAAAATCGTAGGAATTTTCAAAAAATGTGATTTTATAGGAGAAGCTTCAAGCTTTTACGATAGATAGATCGAAAATTTGCTCCAATTTTTTGGGAATACACTACAGACTTACAAAGTGAAGAGAAAATTTTTCATTTTTTTCAGCTCCTAGTTTTTTATATGTAAAAATTACAAAACTTACATAAATTCAAAAAATTTAGTAACCATTCGAAAATAGAGATTTCAAATTTTAAAACCCTCTTTTTAAATTTAGATTTTGATAATTTATAACAAAAATATTGATTGAGAAAAGTTTTTTACCGATTTAAACGGACTTTTTCTCATATAAAAATTTAAAAAACCATAATTTATTCGGATTTATTTTTAATTATTTATTTGCAAAATAAGAAACCAAAGAAATTTTTTAATTAATTTCATATTTTTAAAATTAATTACTTTATTTATTCTTATAACTATAATTTCTTTCTAATGATAAAATCTTTTAATTATATGACAATAAAAATTTTTTAATTATCATTATAATCAATTAATCATAATAAAGTTGAGTTGTTTATTTTTTATTTTGGAAAGTTTTAATGTCTGCTGATTTTAAGATAATAAAGTATTATTACAATTGGTTTTCATCAGATAGCGGGAATGGCACTAAACGGTATCCTGAAGAAAGGTGAACGCGAGGAAGAGCGGCGTTTCGATGAGTTAGATGATGAAAAGTTCAAGATGATCATGAAACTACTCTACAAAGTTAATGATAAGGTCGATTTGTTCGCCAAGTATGATGTGGATGAGCTGTTCGAGTGTCGAATCCTCAGCGTTGATGCAAATTATCGCGGTAAAGGTTTGGCCAGTGTTCTTATGGATGATAGCGAGAAAGTCGCCAAAAATGCCGGGTTTAAGGTAGATTAAACTGGATTTTAACTTATTTGTAATACATTTATATCTTAATTTATTTCTTATATCTATAATTATATGAACATTTAAATTTATCTTTTTTCATTTTATCTTGATCATAAAATCGAAATTAATTTACTTTCTAATTTTTTATTTCAATTTATTTATACGAATTTATTTACTTATTTATATACGAAATGTTTCTAATAAGAATTACTTCTTTCCCGATTTTTTGTAGACATATAAAATAAATATAATATGTAAAAATTTTATGTGACGATATAAATTCGAAAAAAATGTCTTTATCAAAGTGACAATATTATATATATATATATAT